ATTACCGTGGCTCCTTAATTCCAGCAGTGTAAATAGGGTTGAGTTTATTTGGCTATGGGGTCAGGCAATGTATTTTGGGGTAAGGAAAATGTAATTTATGTGGACCAAGTGGCGTAAATCAGCGACGCACTTAGACAAAGACGGCGGAAGGCGAAGATCCCGGGCTGGCATTTGGGGGCTTTCGCATAATTAATTGCTGTAGGGTTCGGTAAAGGAGGTCGTGACAGTTATGGAGTATGAAAGGGTATCTGGATAGCTTGGAGGGCGTGCATGTGGGTTCATGTCTACCACAATGATGTTTTAAAGTACCATCATGATGGTACCCACCAAAAAAGTAGGCATGCTTGTTTCTTAGGAGGAACTACTGTTGATATGACTACATCTTGTGCTTTAACTGCTATGTGGTTAGTTAGTTACCCATAGAAAGTTGACAAGTGACAGATATAATCTTGCACCATTGCCCTTCAGTGCTATCAGAATAAAAGTTGACTGACTGCATCGAAAATTTTAAAAAAAGTCCCCCTATGAAGAAATACACACGACATAAGTCCTGACTCACTCACTCTACCAGTCCTGACACAAGACAACAAAAAGTAGGCAGATCATTGCAGCAGTACAATGCTGATCCTATCAAATTTGATGTAGAACCTCAGATTCCAAGTTTAACTCTGTTTGCTGTATCCTGGAATCCCCCATGAGAGCCCTTCTCATCTGTATGTATATGTGCATGTGACAAGGGTTATGTGGCTGTAACCTTTTGGCATACAGTCAGCCGTCCTCTCCTAACTGTTGCTGCCCAGTGGGGTCAGAGTAGCTCCATGGGCCATGTCTTGGGTTATTCTTTGTATTAACTCCCATTTTGGACCCTAATTTCAATTTCATGCACCCAACATCCATCTCCGAGTAATTGCCTTGGCCTCCTACGTACCAAGTATGGCAAATTCTCCTGGCTAGAAAAGCGACTGGCACAAAAATAATTTCGTGTTTTGGTGTCTATATATAAACTGTCATCTCGGCATGCAGACGGCAACAGTGTTATACAAATGTTTCTGTAGTATTATCATCTCACCGTCACTCTTTTAGATCTTCATAACACAAAGAATACATCATATTTTAGATAATCTAATTGTTAGGATCCTGAGACAGCCATTTTCATGTACCCTTGTCATCAAGGTCGCAGAATGAGACAGAAAAGATACAAGAGAGATGAAATAACAGACAAGGACCGTTTTATGTTGTTTGGTTATGGTGATCTGGCGGGTGTTTAGACAGGAGTCCCCACTTCTCAAAGGGCAGCATAGTCGGAGTGCTTGGAATGATGGTCATAATGTTTTTACAGTCTGGTCGACGTGTGACTAAACTGTGACTGATATAGCACTGAGTTTTGGGAGCCTGACAAACATGTGCCATTTTAATATTGTCAACCAGGTATATTTACTCCACAACAACTTTGTGTACAGCCAATAAGTACTGTACACACTACATCCTGTAGACATCAATCACTATGATATTTATCTTCATTTTCCCTGAAAATATGTTCAGAATCAACTCCAACGATATCATTTTCACAATTTACAACTGGAAAAGTCTTTGGAACCTTTAGACAAATTTGCTGCCCTGAATTTTTATTGATGTCAGGTACTATAGAAGAGTCAAGAAGAGACTAAGTGACATCAACAGAGAAATTCTATCCACAATCTCTAAAGGTAAAAGAAGAACGAGACTTATTTCTGATGATGTTGCAGTCTTCTAAAGCTACTTAACGTAAGAAAAGGAGCGAGGAAGAAGTTGTCTTAAGGCCCATCTGGAAGTTAACCTTCTCAGTCAAGTGTTAATTGCTTTGCCGATCCGTCTCCTTGGCTGGATATCAAAGAAAGACCACGGCTGCGGCCGAGACTCCTTCCAAGAATGAAACTTGACAATCGTGAGATCTGCACCTGCAAAGTTTGTCTTGGGTCATTATGTTTGGTGTAGGGTTGGATGGGGAAGGGTTTTTAGATTGAGCGGGGGGTGAAAAATATAGGCCATGAAATGTAATAGTACACTGTTCACCTTTGATAATATAAAGGCATTTGCCATTTGGAAAATGTCATTAACTTTAAAGCCAAATATATAGTTATGACAGAAATAAAACACCCTGATGAATAAAAAACATGCGCTTTCAATTTGCACGAAATTTTATTTTCTGCAAGAGATTCTTGCCACAAGAAGGTTGCCAAAAGAAAAAAAAGGTTTATATAACAGGAGAATGAACTTGAAAAATGAACATATTTAACTTGTGCCAACCATAATATTATTCACACACCCATATGATTGTTTCTCCTGACTCATATAAAAGTACCATAACATGAGGGACTTGTTTTCAGGCAAGTTCCTTGAAATATAATCTAGTTGAAAAGTCGGTACATCTGGTGTATGGATCAGGTCTATAGTACCAACAGCAGGGCTAGTGAGATCTGAGGGAAACTGAGGTCATTCTAAGGCCTAGGAAAATAATGTTGTGTTTCCTGTTTCCCGACCAACCCTAGAAAAAACTGCCCACCCTATACTTTTTTTGGGTGGACCCCTGCAAGGGACATAATTTTTGAGCTGATGATTGACCTTTTCTAGCTCCATGCTCTGACACCTGAGTGATGAAACATAGTACAATCGGTTTTCTAACATTGACATGCAAGATTTACTTTGTTAAACTGTTTAGTATAAGTTGGATTCACTACAGATTGCCAAAGTCTAAAAAAAAAGAAAGAAAAAAAGATAATCCCTACCTACCAACCCTAATTTTTTCAGGACTGAAACAGGAAACACAACATTTTTTTCCTAGGCCTAACTTGTTTTAGTGGATGACATCCCCATACATATTGTTTTTGGCCTTTCTCTCAAAAGCAGTCTTACCACTTCCATATGATTTGCAATAAATGATTTTACATAATGCTTACAATCTATTAGCAAGCTGGCATAAATCAAGAAGTCATAATGAGCTATCTTTGTCAGTGTGTGTGAGCACTTTGTAAGAGCATTGCAGAATAACAGAATTAAGTGATTGAGTGAAATACACATTCTTGTTTTGCTTTTTTCAGGTCCAGTTGCTTCAATATTCTGGTTGGATTCAGAGCTTTGCAGTGACTTGTATTTAGATGGTAAGTAAATAATATAACGTAACAATTGTAGAATTTCTGCTACATTACTTGTTAACAAGTTGGCTGCACTTTCTGCTGCTTTTTTATTTTTTGATATTCATTAGTTTGTGTCAGTAATACTCAGTATCATTTAGTTAGCCTGGGTACCATCCGGATTTTCGCTCCGCAACTCTTGCTATCATTTAGTTCCACTTTACATAAAAATATATATAAAAGTATTTTGCCTTACATGATTTGAACAATTCTCAATGATTCATTTTTCTAGGTATAATCACAGTTGTTGATTCCAAGTACTGTTTACAGGTAGGTGCTTTTCATTATTTTTCTGCAATAAAAATATAATATATAATTATAAACACTTATATTTTGTATTAAGTTCTGCCATTTTGCAACAGACTGCGTGAGTGAGTTTTATTTGTACATATTTGTTTTACAGCATCTGCATGAACAGAAGGCAGATGGCAAAGTTAATGAAGCAGTCAGGTAAGGATATCCTGTATCAGTGCATACTGTATCCCATCTATGTGTTAACATCATAGGTGATAAAATAAAAACTTTACATTAGTTAACACACATGTACATGTAGCTGAATCAAAAATACGTAAACACATTTCATATCTCCCAACAAATTCTTGTTAATATGCATCTTTGCATGTTGATAAGAAAATATCATTTTAAATGTCTTCTACAGCATATATTTTTATTCATAAGCATTTGTCACAAGCATTTGTCATGATCAATATAACACTATATTTTTATGCATTCAGAAATTAAGTAGTCTGTTGTAATATTAATTGTTTTTTTGTTGTTTGTTTGTTTGTTTGTTTGTTTGTTTACAGACAAGTTGCCATGGCCGATGTCATACTGGTCAACAAAGTGGACCTGGTCTCGGCTCCAGAGCTGAGTAGAGTACAGGAAGAAATCAGGTAACACACTTGTCTAGTACTAGTAGTAGTTATTATTATAGTAGGTGACATTTTTATGACAGATTAATTCTTTGTTTTGTTTTTTTCATTCCAGGTCTATAAACTCTGTTGCAAAGCTGCTAGAGACACACAAGTCAAGGTAATTCTTTGAACTTGTTGCATTGTTTAAAGCAGAATAAGAGCATGTTGTATGTACATACATGTATGTTTAGGTTACTACATGTACTCTACAAATTTTAGTTTTGTTCATATATTGGATGCAGCAAGTTGACTTGTTCGGCTACTTCTATTACTTTGACTTTTATTAGAATTTTGAATGATTAGGTCTCTGAATGATGAGTCTGAGTCAGTGGAACAGTACGCAATTCAAAAAGTCTTTCAACCTCCAATTTTTCAGTCATACATCAAATTTACTGATTATCCTTAGCCTCCTTGGGCGTAGGAAAAAATGTTGTTTCCTGACCGACCCTAGAAAAAAACTACTAGAGCCTTTTTTGTGTGGACCCCTGCAAGGGACATAAATTTTTCGAGCTTATCGACCTTTTCTAGATGGTCTGACACCTGGGTGATGAAACGTTGTACAATCAGTTTTCCAACATTGATATCGAAAATACAAGTGTCCTCATGCAATTTTAACTTTGTTAAACTGTATTGTATACAATGTACATTGGATCACTGGAGATCACCAATGTCTAAGAAAAAGAAACAAAAAGAAATAATTTCTACCAACCAACACTAATTTCTTTCGGAACTGAAACAGGAAACACAACATTTTTTTTCTTAAGCCTTGCCCTTACGTCCTGGTGTGCTCCATTGGTGTAGGTTTGTCAACATCTCCAATATGCAAACGACCCCCAACCATGTGAAGTTGTGAGGTCTACAGCCGTTTTTCCTCTCTCTTAACAAAAGACAGTCCGGACACGCACAACAGTCAGGGTCAGTGCCGGGTATTGTGTCGACCTGACCATTCAGGAAATTCAACAGTTTATACAATAACATTTGTCTAAACTTCACGCTCTGAATACGCGCCTTCACCCCTCAACCCAACTGTTTCTCACATCTGGGAAACGTTCCCAAACAAGACACCGTAACTAGCAACGATGTGTGTTCACAGCTATTATAACAGTTCTACCAACTTTTCACATCTCTCTGTAGGTTCAACAAGTTGTAGCTAATACTAAAACCCTTGTAAGTGTACTTGACGATGTTTAATTCTGTAATAGACCCTGCTATTTGGTACACAAACTTGCTATTTTAGATAAGATTTTCTGTATAGGGGTATGTTTGTGTATGAACGTAAGTGGCATAACTTCTTTGCAATTTTGACAGAAGGCATTGAAGCCATCACATGAGTCAATCATACTTACAAAAAGTACAGAAATCCTGTGTAAACAGTTTGCCATTATAATATGAAGCAGTATGTTTTGGACACAGAATTACTTAGAATGACAAAAACAGCTTCTTAGTTGCAGGTGCGGGAGACAATGATTTTGTGACAATTTGTCATGTAACACCAACTTGACTTTGAATTCCTGCCATGTTTTTTGAATGACGTACATGTAATTTATGTACTGTGACAAGAGTAAGACTAAAGAGGTTCCATCAGTCTTATCTTTCCCTGTGAACCTTTGAAAAATAAGTCCTGGACTTATTTTTGTCTGTCCATATGAAAACTATAGAAATTAATAATAATTCCGCCTTGAAATCAAAAGAAAAAAATAACAATTGAGCAGTATTTTAGTTTTATAGGACTTTTTGCTACTTTCTTGTGAAAAGTTCCTTCCTACAAAACATCATCAATATCCTACAAATACTAGTCCAAAATACAATATAGTATGATAAGTCTTGATATAAATAATATAAAAATATGTATTAATTCTACAGGAAAGAAAGTTTTGGATGTTGGATGACAAGTAGTTTTAACCGCCAGTTTCAGTGAAAGTAACCCTTCCTCACATGTATCTAGAGCATTATGTACATGTACATCCATATTGTCCTTTAGATACCGTGTCACAGTCTGTGTGTGGGAAAAGTGTTCTACAGATCCGTACCCTAATGTGTGTTCAGCACATTGTTTGTGCTCGTGAATTCAGCTCGTCCTAGTGACTTAATCCCTGTAAGCTTCACACCTATTGTTTACCCACAGAAAAGATCTCCTGCCGTTCCTCCTTTGTAAACCGCACAACAGACTCCCCGGCCCATCTTTCCCAAACCAAACATAATAATGGCCCACCATACAATCCTTTACCGTGCCCAATAACCCTACTGATGCTCATTATCGTATGCCTGACTGTTCCCTTTCAGAACTGAGCTGGCAGCGCTCCTAGATTTGCATGCCTTTGAGGGGAACTCGGACCGTTGGTGAGTTATCAGAGTCTTTTTCCTCTCTTTCTCGTTCCTCTGTGTTCTGACCCACGTCCGCGCATGAATCGTCGAAAGTGTCGGGTTAGGCCGCTCGCACGCTGTGTGTTTAAAAAGACCTGAAAGACTCTGCTGGTAGCTTTGCTCACGCTGCGAGACCTGTTATTATCCCACTCTATTATGTCCGCCAAATTATCGGTTAATTCCACCCCATAAACAGCTCCCTGTTTTCACCGTAAAACTCCGCAAATGTTTTCCCTTCTCTCCTCTTTTGTGGCCAACGTTGCCGCTCCTTCTTGTCTGTTGTCATAGTGACCGAGACGTCTTCGCCGCTACGGTTTCACCGCACACAGACTCCCGTACGTCCGAGCACAGCCACCATTTGGATCAGGTCAGTTTACGCTGGTATGATGTATCGCCGTGACCTGCGCGACCCCGCTTTGTTCCGTGCCTTCTTGCAGGAATTTGGCAGGAGAGCGGACACAATGCCCCGACATCGCCTTGTAGAAATGTTTGCGCGGAGTCGTTTTGTGATGAAAATTTTCCGCGAACCCTCACAGCCGGCCCGGGTACCCGATCTCATGTCAGGCATTCACACAAAGAGCCTCTGTGTTCTTTACCATTGTTCCCAACACCAAGCCAGTTTTTCTAAGAGTGTTTCATGGAGAGGGACCACACTTGTTGAGAGGTCCTGTGTAGCCTTTGTTGGGTTGTGGCAATCTTACTTGCATTGAGACAGACTTTCAATGGGAGTAATGACCCCACTGTGACCTGAGGTGATGGGATGAAGTCAGTATGACTCTCTACACTTCATCGTTTCTTCATTAGAAGCTGAGGTGCATGTGCATGTATGTAGAAAACAAACAAATGATAGATCTGACACATATACATACTTTTTTGTGTTTCATTATGTTATACGTGTAATTGATTCTTGGTGAATGTACAAAATTTTATAGCACTTTCTTTATTGATTTGTAACGATTGAGCTCTTTCCTCCTCTAAAGAAATGAGTAGACAGTATAAATTTAAGACAGACTGTTCATACTTTTTGAAGAATCCTAAAAAGCAATGCCTGCCTGCCACTCTACAAAGACCCACCCTAATAAAGATTAATGTCCATTTTATGTTTGATGGGAAAAGAACACCACCATTAAACGGACATCACAAACATGTTTTTTATTTCCCACAGCTATTACAGAGCAGAAAAATAGGCAAATTATCCATTCAAGGTCATGCTAACTTATAAACCTTAATAAAAGTTGTACTTTTGACCTAGGAAGTCATCGCATAAAGAACACCACAATTTATACAAGCACAAAAGATGCTTAAATTGTCAATACAAGTTTCTCCAGAACTGTTGCTGAACAGAAAAGTAGATGCTTTTGTTGTAGATGATGCAAAAGCCTCATGTGGTAAAAGTTGTACTTTTGACTTGGGCATCATAAAGAACATAAAGAAAACCACATTTAAACAAGCACAAAAGAGGCTTTTAAAAGTTTCTATTGTCTATACAAGTTTCTCTCCAAAACTGTTGTCGAACAGAAAGGAGATATTTTTGCTGTAGATCATGCAAAAGCGTCGCGATGTAAAAGTTGTACTTTTGACCTGTGCTATCGTCCTGTGAGGCGAGGCCACCGTGGTAGCCACCGGACACCGTCCCCGCAGATTCCCGCGGTGTGTGACAGTTCCCCCACCAGTGTTCCAGCCCGCAGGAGGAATGATGGATGCACATTTCTCTCTAAACGTTGGGTCGGACCTGTAGAGATGCAAATATTTGCACACCACTGAGCAAGGCCTGAAAGAAAGAAGAAGAGAAAGAAGATCACAGTACATTAATCGCAAAGCTTGTCCTTCTACGATTCATCGAGCACGCATTTTGAAGAGGAGGCAGGCAGTTAGAACAGTGGGGAGTCATGTGTGTCAGCATTTGGTCACTGGGTACAATCTATTTATTTTAACGTGTTCAGCCATACCGTAAGTGTGGTCTTATCCTATGCTATCAAAGTTTACAGTGTTATATGCCACATGCAATTCAGATTCAGAATGTCAACTACCAGAGTCATCTACACACATTTGCTGAGCAATTCTGAAACAGTACATTGATTTAAAATGCATGTACATGTATGAAAAGTTTTTAAATGCACCAGCCTTCCTCTAAATTACCGATAAGCAAAGGTTGGACAGTAAGATCTCATTAACACAATACACACACACACACACACACACACACATACACACACACACACACTTAGACTTACACACACACACTGCCTTAAACAAGGTAACCAAGTTCCCTTTCTGTTCACAAATTGGACAGACACACACAGACACACACAGATGGGGTAGACATGTGCACACTGCATTGTCATTAGATAACCAAGAGCCACCAAGTAGTTACTGTACAAAAGTGACAAGAAGACACCAGTTTGAAGTCCCGTTTCAGCGACCTGTCAGACACGCTGTAATCTGCTTACTCCCCATACCACACAAGGTCAACAGGCTTAGTCAAATGGTCCGTCCTGCACAAATTGTTTCCCACAATCAGCTGGATTACACCTTGCCAAAGCCTCATGTTCGGGAGTCAATCGTGATAACATTATTAGCCATTGTGGGGGATAATCCGCGGCAAGAGGATTATTAAATCAAACCATAATCTGTGGGAGGCTTGTCTGTGGTTAATAATTGATTGTGAGCAGAGTTTTTCATCCCGTAATCTTGTTGTAGAAGTCCTGACCTTGTTTTATACCTTATGATGTTCACGTACACTTCTATTTGTACTTGACAGCAGCAGTTGCAAGTTTTGATCCAGGATCATAAGGTTATGGGTTTGATTCCCAACCTCGTCATCATAGTTTTGGATCGTAACATACATACACACTACTGACAGAGGCCCAAGTTCTTTTAGAGGGTAGAGTTGAAAGTCATCTGTTTGAGGGCTGCCACTCCTTGACCATATTAAAGAACCTCAGAATTTCTTGAAAAGAGTTGGCACAAACCAATCAGTTCTTTACATAACTTTGTGTTTTTCATTAGTTGTTGCCATACATTGTACCATGTGCAATTGTCATGCAATAACGTTGTATCTTGACTTCTACCCTGCATTTTAGATTTCTTTTGAACAAAATTTATTTATTGCTATTTTCATTTGTCAGCACTGAAGTGTATCATATGGATGCATGTGAAATTTTGTGTTTAAAAAGATGTGTGTAAAAGATAAAACATAAAAATTAGCACAAGAATACTGCTACAGTTTTGAACTCGTACTTAAGCCAACTCACCTGAGTGAAAACACACCTGTACTGTACATGACAACTGATCGATCTTCCGCTCAATTACCAACATCCGCATTTCCTGAGGCCATGTACTGTGTGTGTGGCAGTTCTCAATAGGGCTTAACTTTGACAGAGAATGTCATGTGTGGTGCTTGGCTAATCTCTCACATTACACGCCCAATTGTACCTGCAAATGCCCCCGTTTCAACATGATTACCTGTCAATTCAGAAACAGACAGATTTAAGTTGGGGGATCACTGAGAATTACTGAAAATGTCAAATTCTCAGGGTATAATGGTTTTTCATGTCACATTAGCAATGGATACATACCCGATCAATTGTACTTTAAACATACATTAAACATTTGTGGTTTTTATTGTTGTAGTTAACTGTAACAACAATAGTTTGAGAAGTTCTCGTTTCCCATAGCTATGGCTTGCTACAGGCTGTTGAAGATTGCGTTTTAAGTGTTGGTATGTTGTTGTTGTTCGCTCGTTTTAATTAAATGATCGCTTTGTGTTTCTGAAAACAGTTTGCCCTCTTGCAGTGGTTACACCACAAAGAAAGAACGCCCCAGAACAATTGGGTGCACCTGTTCTTTATGAAATAAGGCTGGGCTTGTATAGAACTAAACCCACCTGAGCAAACAGGTGAGGAAACTCGGCACCCAGCCCTGTCCCCGTCCAACGCTTTATGAGAAAACTTGGTGACAAACGAGCTGTCAGAAAATGAGCGTCAGATTTTGTATACAAACTTTTGTGCATCTCTCTTCGCTCTCTTAACCTAGAGTGTCTCTACTGTTACGGTGGAACTAAGCGGAGACATGGACCGAGACATGTTCGAAAACTTCCTACAGGTGAGAAAACTTTATCTTTTCTAATTCATTCTATTATAGACTTTTACATGAAAAGCTGTACTTTTATACTTGTTTCCTTATTTGCTTTTGAGATATTACTGGTTAATAACGATTGGTATTTGTCAGCAATTATGCTTTAAATGCTGTTGAAATCTTACTGTGAAATAGTTATACTCTTGTAGTTTAAAATAAAACTGTTTTTTCACAAATGGTAAATTGAAGCATGACAGCTCAAGAAAAATTTAAGACATATTACATTTTCTGAACCCATCAGTTAGCAGGTACATTTTATTACTACAGTACATTTATGTTAGCAAACTATGGAAAATGTTTTACGTATTTCAATGGTGTACAATTTCTGGAGAATTCTTTATTTTTTTTGTATTATTCAGGACCTTTTGTGGGAAAAGTCTATCAAAAACACCAAAGGAGAGACAATGGATATACTAAGGCTTAAGGTGGGTTGTTGATGTTTACTTGTTTTCTTTGTTTACTTTAGTGTCATATATTACCACAGCTGTTTGGAAAGGGCAGAAAAACAGTGTTCATAATTAGGATTATAGTATGGAATAAAATCCATTATGAAAGTAAATGAACATTTTAGTTCCATTCATACTTTAAGAAATTCTTCAGTGCTATTTACTTTGTGTTATTTTTGCCAGTGTAAATAGAATGGATTTAGTACTTTTGTGCAAAATTTACTATGAAACCATTCAAATTGTTTGTCTAACCTTTCAAAAGTTTTAGTTTCGCACACACAATACAACACTTCTTTTTAAAAGATTAACGCTTCAAGTAAAAACATTTAGGTTTTGTTGAAGTTCAAATTTATCTTCCGATAATTTTAATTTCCGGTCCTCTGTGCTATTCTTGGTACCATTGGTTTTCCATGTGTCATTAGGAGGTGTATTTGAGAGTCCTTGACCGTTAAGGTGATGACGTGTTCTTTAAGACCTTGTTCCGGTGCTCCTTGACTAGAGGCAAGTGTGCGGAACACATTGCCTACCGATGATGACAGCCAGGGAAAACATGGTCTTTTATCACGGACTCTGAAAGTACTTAAGAGTTGGAAGAACACCATACTTCCCAAGCATACATACGGGTATATATTAAAGCATGGAGCTATACTCTTTTACATCCATGATTAAAGACACATAAAGCGATTTTAGGTCAGTAAAACTGAATTTTCAAAGTCAATTTTCAGCTCATAATTTTAATGCAGTATCTACTAGTATAGTGGGCTGGTTCTAGCTATTTATTAGTGGTACCAAAAAATAACCGGGTACTAAACGCATATATATTTATGTCATTGTGTTTTATAGGTTGTTTTTTTCGTAGCTGAATCTTTCTTCCAAAGGCGAAAGCATGAAAACACAACGTCCAAGTCAACTTTCTCTTGTGTACTGTTTCACCTCTGCAAGAGGAAGATTAGCGAAGTGACTTCAAAGTTGTTAGGGTTTTATTTATGAAAGGAAGACAACTTAACAATAACTTGATATTCCCATAACCATTACGTTGATAATACTATTCTACGATCCGTACCCCCGTAAGAAGGCCTGGTGGAGGCTGCCCCAGGCCCTGAACAGCCCACCCCGATATACAGGCCTCGGATATACCATGTCCGCTCCTGAGGCGGTTCGGCTCTCCGCATGAGCGCGTGCACCTGGGCCGTCCCTACACCTCTGTTGATGTCCAACCCGCTAGGGGTAACATATACACGGCAAAAATCCGCCTTTATACAAATATCCCAGTAATTAAATCTGTCGGACGGGCCGCTGCCTTCGCCCCGCGCTACTCTGTCATCGCAGTTTGGGCCGAGGTCAGGCTTCCCCGAACCCGCTGAGCCGCAAAAACTTTCAGGTGTCAAGAGTTGACTTAGGAGGGGATACGCAAGAATTAGCTGAGAAAAGAACGGGGAGATTTCCAGCTAGCTGTGATCGTGATCCAGCCTTTCGGATCCGATTCTCCTCGGGAATCGGTGCGGATTTGTCGGGATCAAACGCTAGCTGGTGGCGCGTGAGAATCAGGTGGAGTTAGGGTTAGGGTATAAGCCGCCCGCGGGTCATGTTAGCCAACCCCGTGTCACCAAAGTTTTCCTTACGCGGTAGCCGTACTACCGGAAAATTATTTGCGTGGCTCTTGGGGTGTTTGTTGTAGCAAGGCTCCGCTCTTGTTGGCCACTTATTGGATGTCGGGCGGGGTATTGTAAGCTTCACGGGTGTCCGGCATTGGCAAATAATTGCGGAGGGACTTGTTTGGGGGTATGATCCTGGCGGGCGTGAAGCGCTCCCACCTGCCGCACAAAGACCCGCACCCCCACCTGGGGGATAGTGTTTACCTGCCTGCTACCGACACCTCAGGTACACACCGCAGGTGATGAGAAGATGATTAAGACTAGATGTAACCTTACCCCGCACCTGCTATATAAACCAGGGGAAACGCAGTCTTCAGACCACACAGTGGAGAACTGTGTTCGCTGAATGCTCGTCTCCTGTCGTGACAAAGGGGTAGGAAGTCACCCTGTGCCCTTAGGACAACCGTACAAGGCGAACACCAGATGGTGAAGCCGCAAGGGGGTTGGGAAAGGGCAAGACCTGCGCCAAATCCGACCTCCAAGTCCGTCCGCCCGACCTGTAGGAACGGACCACCTTGTCGGAACAGCGGGGGTGGGCGTCTCCTGGCGCTGACCGGACCCTGTGTCACTGGACGCTGCAGAGGTCGATGTTAGGACCATGTCAGACACGAAGTCTAAAACACAGACCCTCCAGCTTTGAAAGGAAGCGACCTTTCACCCGCAGTAAGAGGTTCTTCCGGTAGAATTCTATGGAAAAGCGCCCCGAACGACAATCGGGGTCCCTCCGTGTTTGTGTTGCGGCCGGGGTGCAGTGAATGGGCCGTATTTGAATTTGCGCGATAGAATTTCAACCCCTCAGTTAATGAAAAAGCACTTTGTTCGGGTGCGTGTTTGCTTGTTTAAGGTGAAATAATACAAATTGTAGTAGTATCAATTTGTGACACCAGATAGCATTGTTTGCATATTGGAATTTGGTATGTTGTTTTGAATAGAGCCACTTTGTCCGCGTGAGACTTACAAAGTGGCGGTGTACGTTGTCCTTTCAGCCCGACAAGAAAGGAGGGAGTCACGGAGCGTTTGTTTATGAAGCTCGATCTGGTTTCAGCGTTTGCTCACTTTTCCCCAACGGCGTTGAAACGGCGATACATTAATACTCGTGTGAATCATGCAGAATTAGTATTCTCATTTCGAACGGCCGCATGGCGGGGTTTGCCACCCCTCCGCGTGCCTTCTTTTCGTGCCTCTCAAATTAAAGTCCGAGTGAGGCCCGTGTGTCCCAAGGACCCCCTCCTCAGCTGAAGGGCGGCCGAGAGGACTAATTTTACCGGGAACAGGTGCAGTCTCCGCCGGAGAGAGGAGCGTGAATTACCGGCCTGTTGCGTCTGCAGACCCGAGAGTCGTCCACAAGTACTAGTACTCGCCCTCTCGTTACGTGGAGTAGTTTATAAAGAAGCACTCCGAACTACACAAACATTTTTACGCCTCACTTCAGGTGTTTTCAGCCGTGGCTTCGAGTGTAGCCCTCTTCGATCTGGAGGATGTACGGATCTAGTAGTTAGAGTACTGCCCTCTAAGTACGGTGTAGTTGAGGCTTGTCCAACATGTATCTAGGCTGATGAAACTACAATCAGTAAAATTGCACTTCGATCACTTTTACCACTATACAGATACATATACCCAAATTGAGAGTTTATATTGGTATTATCAGTCATATCCACTTAGAGTATGTTTAATGGCAATTAAGTGAAGATATCCTTGAAAAAGATAGAAATGGACAAAATTTCCGCATCGTCAATGTTAAAATCGGTGAACATGTATGTGCCATTCACTCTTTTTTTCTTTTTGCTTCAAGTTTTATTAAAGAAAAAAAAAGATACGGTATTGTATCAACGAAAGAGAACAGGACTAGAGCTCTGATATATGTATCGGAAAAGTTGCACAGAAGTTGGACTTGAAGTAAAGCTAGGTCGTTATAGTTCGTCCTGACACGTACTGGCGAATTTTTCCCCACTTCCCGTGTCAAGGGATTTCGAGTAGTGGGGCAGAGAGAATTTTGAAAGATCTCAAAGTTGAAAAAAACAAGACAGTCGTCATGTCAAGATGCGCTCGACGTCAGGTCAAGTTGCGTGACGTCGACGTCACCACTCAAGTTACGTGAATCCACGAACAAGTACTGTGTAAAAGTATCATACATTTAGCTGTTGATGTAGATAGTCAAAAACACTCAGTTGCAAATTACATTTTGTCTAATGTAAGAGTTATTCTGAAGTGTGTTGCAGATATCTCGAAACATGTACTTGGCAACTAAAATTCAGTTCTAAGTGTTTTGATAGGACTGATATAGCCACAAGAACGTTTTAAGTAGTACAAAAATAATATACCTAGGGTCACATTGACATGTCTACTTTTAAGTATATCGCACATTTCTACCTAACACGTACATTGCGGCACCTGTCCTTGGTGCTGACTTCGTTGTTAACCAAGGTCACGATATTTTCGGTATGACCAAAAGTTAGAGTTTCATAATGTCGTTACGCAACTCTTCGTTACAGGCAGACAATGCACTTCCATACTTCAGATTTAAGTTAGAAGATGTAGCTAACAAAGGAACAGAAAACTGTGAAGACAACGTAAGCCACAAGCGATGCCAAGAAGAGCAAAAGGATGAAAACAAGAATGAGTAGTCTATACGGCAGGTGGATCGTTGTGGCCGGTCCTTTTGGCGGTTCAATGTTTGCCGTTTCCATTGTCAGTCTGTGAGTTTATGTGGGAACTAGTTAACCTGTTGGTTTACGAGCTAGTTAATTGGTTGATAGATGGTTGACTTGCAAGGTTGATGGTTTCTTGGATGCTTGGCCGATGGTAAATTGTCCTCTGGTTGGCTTCTATTTGTCCATTCATTAGTTGAGTGTCTGCTTGACGACGCTGCTTCCCTTGTCCACTGACTTGTTGGCTGGATAGTCCTGCGGTGTCCTGGTCACCAAATGACGGCCTCAGCAGATGGTCAGCATGGACAGTAGTACTTGGTAGTCCTGATGGTTGTAGAACTGGCCAGTTGAGACTCTATGTACACATCCACGGTCTTGCAAGAGTGCGTCTATTCCAGACCATTTGTAGAATCGCCTTGGTCTCGTGTTCTTGAAAGCACCAATCGCTGGTTGACGAACAAACTGATAGATGAATATATAGCTGGATGGATGGATGGATGGATGGATGGATCGATGGATGGATGGACAGAAGGATAAAATAGCAGAAAAGAGAGAGAGAGAAAGTCGGTTCGGTCAGTTTTCCTAGCCGTACGTCGCTTGGCTCCATGAAGGTGACCCAAAAGGACACCGGCGTAAGTTTAGATTTGCCCCACGTCACACCTCCTATTTTGTAGAG